GCACTGAGCTTGATGATCGTGATACGGAGAGTGTGTAGTAGAAGCAGCAAAGATGTTGATGAAAAGATTGCAGCAAAGCTCAAAACGCGGAGCCCAGTGAGAATCGAACGGGCCCTTTACAAACACAAGAGCGTATCACAAATGAGCTGATTGCGATCTCCAACACTCTGTAAGATGGATAGACTCACCGACGTGATGATGAAGGCGTCCACAAAGCTGCTCAAACGAGTTCTGGCGGAGTCGTCCAAAGGATTTGCGGTTGTTGTGCCTTGTCGATGAGTGCCTCTCCCGACCTGTTTCACGCAAACGAAGCAGACAGAGCTCGTTTGCGTCGACGTTGAAGGCAAACGACAGAGAGCGAGGTGACAGATTGAGGGCAAAGCGCAAGACAAAGCAAGCGATGGGTTGCAAATGATTGGTTCGCCTTGTTCGCCGCTTTGGACAGTCTCAATTAGCCTTTTGGAAATATTTTTTGTCGACAACCCCTATCGAGCAGGTTCACGAAAAGAACGAGTTCTAGCACGGGCAGAGATCCAGATTCACGGGTCAGGACGCTCGAGCGAGCACGGAGGGTGAGTCGAGCCTTGTAGCAGCCCTGTACGCGGCTGAGCACTTTCCAGGTCCGTGAATACGAGCTCTATGCGTCTAGGGTTTGGATTTAGACGTTTATGTCGGCGTGGCTTTGCTAGTATCAGCCTGACAGCCTTAGCAACTTGCGCTCTCAAGCACGCGTACACTTTTTACTCGCGAATTCAGGCTTTACCAAACGTTTCCCACTGCAGAACGTTACAACTGTGTATTTGTCATAGAGTGCCTTCGTCGCATTCATCGAACCAGTTACCGACTGCCACTAGGCCCATTCCCTGTCAATTGACAGGGGTATAGCGGGGGGCAAGACACACATGGATCCCATCTTGAATGCATATGTCTACGAAGGCAGTATCCTCGCTAGTGAGGGAACAATGCACATCCCATGTCCGAATTAGCGGAATGGGCGAAAGACTCGCTCGCCTCCCCAATCACTGGCTCCGTCATCATCATCATAGACACCGAACAACCACGGATGCTCCTCGCGAGGCCATCATTTTGGCATTTCATTTATCTTTTGACGAAACCCCTTATCTCTCCCCCTCCGCGCACCCTTACCCTCTCGTGGCCAAACCTTATTGGCACCTACCCTTACTTGACGACCAACACTTGAAACTGCTCCGTCTTTTCAATTCACGGGCTGCCCGCGACATCTCTACTTGATCACTTTGCCACAAAGTATTGGCATATCAGCTTTTCCGATGCCGGCTCCACCTCCCGATCATCCAAGGTTATTAGCGTGTTCACACACACACGCTCTTCTTTGCTTTCCCTCTTGGGGCGGTATATCTCACACTGCTGCACTAGATCTCTCTGATCACCTCTCCCTCCTAGGTTTGCCTTCAAACGACCCGATACCGGAGCGGGTGGTGGCTGCAATAGACGGTTAAGGCGGAGGACACCTTTGCCAGCTCTTGACTTGTATCAAGTCTATCTAGAGATCACGAGATTCCGGTCTGTTTCACTATTGGATTCAAATAGCAAAGGACTATCAGCCCTTTGGTGGGACGCGAGCTAACACTTTCCAGTGTATCTAGGACCTTGCTTCCGATGCCTACATTTCTTCCCGCAAACAACTAGCACAATGCCGTTCAAACCAGGTAGATTTGCAAAGTCCTACTCAGTTGTGGAGAGTCACCGATATTTCGATGCGTATTTCAAAGATTAGCTATGTCGGTTCTCGCCATGCATTCCAAAGGTTAAAATGCATGTAGTATTCTGTGCTTGTATATAGATGGAACACTGAATGAAGCAACTTTCTACCAACGCGGAGCGCACCTCAGCGGAACGTCTGCTGTGCAGGCTTTTTGAACAAAGCTATACCCTTGGCCTCGACGTATTTGGACAGAAACCGCCCAACACGCACTTTACGGCACCACAACACGCTCAATTACTAGTTAACAATATTCTTTTTATCATAGTCTCTGCAGTTATTTCTTCTCCGACCACGACGTCAACCACATTCCCAACTTGTGTCATCTCTTATGAGCTCCCCAAAAGTTTCTCCAGTCCCAGGGACACCTTCTAGTCTATCAAATGGTGTGAATGGTCTCATTAATACCAGTCAGGCTATAGCGGAACGGATACAGATTGTCGACGAGCAAAAGCAATTCAAGTAGGCATTCGAATTTATTGCTGTCTGGAAACCTTTCTAGTGATTTACTTTGCTAATTCATACTTTTCAATTTTTCGTCTTGCCAAAACTCAGTAACCAATTGGGCCAGCAAATCACGAAATGGGGCCTACAGGATGCCGGATTCTCTTACAATATCGTCGCTGTTTTCGGTAGTCAGAGTACCGGAAAGAGTAAGTGAACGTCGCATGATATCCCCAAATTTCTACCTTTCGTATTGCGCATGCAACGCGGACTAGACATCATGCCGGAGCTCTTCATCACTTGCGTGGAGCGCCTTTTCACGAGCATTTATGCAATCATTTCACGTCAATACTCTTGAGAGTTTTGTTCAAGTCATCAGCTACATGCTGTCTTATGACGAATGAGCAAACGTATCGTCCACGTCTGGACTTTTTGCGCCGCTCTTAGGTCGTATCCTATCGCTTCGAATTTTACACAAAGCATTCGTTCAAAACATTTTGACTTCATTTCTTCTTTGTGTTATTTATTACAAGGCTAAGAAATGCTCACCCCTTTATTCGCGTATAGGTACTCTCTTAAATCGACTTTTTGGAACAACATTCGATGTTATGGACGAAACTCGTCGCCAGCAAACTACCAAAGGTTTGTAGTCACCACGAACGCACTGTTATTACGCTGACGCGCATTTTCACTGAAAACAGGAATCTGGATGTGCCGAGCCCAAACAGCTCCCCTCCTAGTGATGGATGTAGAGGGAACCGATGGAAGAGAAAGGGGAGAAGACCAAGATTTTGAACGAAAGAGCGCACTTTTCTCAATGGCGAGCAGTGAGGTTGGTAGAAATTTACCCGTGGCTATTTCCACGTTCTTCCATCTCTCTTCCCGACCAATTCATCACGTGCTAATTTTCACTTTCTCTAGGTACTAATTGTCAATTTGTGGGAGCATCAAGTTGGTCTCTATCAAGGAGCAAATATGGGCCTGTTAAAAACAGTGTTCGAAGTGAACTTGGGACTGTTTGGCAAACGAGACGAGTGAGTATCCTACATGTAACTCTAGCCCTTTCTTGATATCTAAACATGGTTTTTGCCAGTTCGTCTCAGCGTACTCTCCTCTTGTTCGTCATTCGCGACCACATTGGTACTACGCCTCTACCCAACCTTCAAGCCACCTTGACTCAGGACAT